TTTTTTTTTTTTTTTTTTTTTTTATACGGAGGATTGACCTCTGGTCCTTGTGCTTGCAAGGCAGGCAGCAGCATCACTGAGCTAAATCCCGGGCTCAGCATATTTCAATACATGCAGACCTCATCCACTGATCAAATTCAGCCCTCTAAATCCACATCCCCCAAACTCTGCTAATCACTATTCTACATTTTTTTCCAGTAAATGTTTTTTTTAACAAGTATGATATTTCAGAATCACTAAAACTATATGGCCTTCAGGTGATTCCATTTTGCCACTGGGCTTAAAGAGTGTTACCTTGGGTAGAGTCAGGATAGGCAGCGTTTGGGGGATCACACAGCCCAAGATGAAGAAAAGCAAACTCGGAAGGTGGCTCCTAAGAGTCTGAGAGTCTGGAGGCTCCGGCACATGCCCGAGAGGTAGCAAGCAAAGGATACAGAGACAAACCTCCAGGGACTGGAGGAGAAAGATCTGGCGCAGAGTCCCCAGGAAGGCGACTTCACTGAAAATCCCCGGGCGCCGTCTAGGTCCAGAGCGCTGGTCCACCGCCACCTTCCTCTCTGCTCCTCAAAACCGGGTCGCGCGAGCCACCACCACAAGGGGCCAGCGCCCGCCCACCTCCCCCTTCAGGGGCCGCGCCCTAGTGCCCTACCGTGGCACGAGACCAGGCGGGAGACCCTCCTGCTGCAGCTGCTGACTTCTCTGGCGTCCTCTGGGGCCGGCCCGCAGCTGGGGACTCAGCGGGTCGCCCGGGATGGGCGGGCCGGATTTCAGCATGCCCATCTGCGCTTCCGAAGCAGCGGGCGAGCAGTGCTCTGCAGGCACACTCACCTCCCCACGCAAGGCGTTGGGGAACCTAGAAGGTGTCTAGGTTAGGCCTTAATTTAACACCTGTGAGGTTGGAGCGACGCTCGCTTCAGCTTGCAGGGTGGGCAGGACCCTTGCAAACTCCCTCTTGGACTGGAGTGCGAGCTCCAAGGAACATACTGTCCTCGCAATTTTACATATTCCAGACCCGGGATCCAAAGGAAGTTCAAGTCCCCTCTTTTTAGCAAACTTCTCTGGATCTAAAAAGAAAACTGAAATCGCTTTTTAGCTCCATCCACTAGTGGGCTAACTTTTCGCACACTGCATGGGGCTGTATTTTTCAAGTCTACTCCTGACTAAAATTTGATTGTAGATATTCCATTTCCTCTGCCTCTGCCACAAAGCAGGCAAAAGTGCATTTAACTGATGTTTAGGAAGTTTTGTGATGGTCTCTCTTTTCCATATTGCTTTTCCTAATTTCTAAAGTCTATTCCTCCCAACCCTACCCCAACCCAACTCTGCTGTATTGTAACTGGAATTGAGTCAGGGGCCTTTGCCCTGAAGTACACTCCTAGCCCTCCTTGTTTATTTTAAAATGAGATCTCACTAACTCACCCAGACTGGGCTCAAATTTGTGATCCTTCTGCCTCAGCTTCCCAGAGTACTCGGATTACAGGGGTGCACCACCATGACAGGCTTTGTATTGTTTGTTTAAATCTCTTTCTGTTTTATGCTTTTTCTATCCCTTCTATTTTTAGCACTGTTCCTAAAATACTGCAGAAGGAAAACCTCCTAAAATTCACTCTATTAGTGGAATTTGACCTTTCCTGTGATTTTATCAATTTACAACTATTATACTACTTATTTCCCTACTTCTTTCTTACCTGCTATTATTCATAGCTTTTTTATACTTAAATGTTTGATTCATCAATAATTTATTTTAGAAATGACTAGCAAATTACGCTCCAAATCTTTCCTCATTAATTTGAAAGTAAACATTTATCATATAATAAATCGCCATGTATACTTAACGTTTGTGTCTGCGTTTTGTGTTTTATTCCGTTGCTTTGTCTATGCCAGATCCAGCATGCAATGGGAGTTTAGCCCTTGCCAGACAGTTCTAAATTCAGATTCACTCATTTATCATCATAACAACACTACTTGGTAGGTGCACTAATTAAATTATTATTAAGTTAATAAATATCTATTGAGAGCCTACTATATTCCAAGCACTTTCATGCACACTGATAATACAAACATTTACAATGTAGCTCATAATAATATGCCTTTGTGGAGCTTGCCATTCTAGTGTGGTAGACAAATAACAGAAAGGATCAATACTGAAAACTTACACTGTGTTATTTGGTTGTCTGTACTGGAAAGAAAGCGTAAAAAAAAGGGAGGAGTGTGTGTGTCTAGAGATTATTTTAGGTAGGGACCTAGGAAACCCTCCCAAGTGTGACCTGTGAGTAGATGCCTTTAAGAAGTGAGGGACTTGTCATGTAGCGGTACAAGATCCCAACAATGAATATAACTGTAATGTATCCCTAAAATGTACCAATAAACTCAATTAAAGCTGAAAAAAAAAAAAGAAGTGAGGGGTGAGTATTTTCAGTTCAGCACTGAAAAGCTCCTCAGGCATAGGGAACAGCAAGTCCCAAAGCCCTGAAGTAGGAACACTGTGGAAAGTCTGAGGAAACTGCGGGATTATGGTGAGGCATACGTGCCAGACAGGAGGCTGATAAGATCTGAGAGGTTAATGAGGGATCCAGATCACACTGGGCATTGTATATCAAAGAACGCAAGCACTTTAACTCTTGCCCCGAGAGTCAGATGGTGGGCAAGCCACCAAGTGCTTCAAGGCTGGGAATGGTGTGGTTTGACAGGCATGGTGACATCATCTTGGTGCCCACAGCAAGTAGGGAGACCTAGTTGTAATAAGGCAAGAGTTGATAATGGTTTGGGCCAAGGTAAGAGCAATGTAGAATAGTGAAAGGTGGTTAGATTCTGACAATGTCTAAAGCTACACAAGGACATAAAGTATGATGTTAAGGATGACTCTAAGTTTTTTGAGTAGAGGGAAGATGGTGTTTTAGTTACTTTTGTCATTGCTGAGACAAAAAACATCCAAAGTTAAGGGAGAAAAGGTCTTCAGTCCATAGTCAGCTGGCTCCAAAGCAGGGTGGCACTGAAGAGGAGTCACACTCCATGGCAGGGCAGGGAGAAGGCAGTAAAGTAGCAAGGCAGCTTCTTTCTGTCCCTTTATAATCCATCCAGGTTGCCCGCCTTTAGAGTGGTGCCATCTACACCCAGGTTGGGGCACCCTTAAACCCAGCATCACACTCTTAATTCTTGCATCACACATCCTAATCCAGCCACCTTCAAAACTCCCCACCTATGACCACATGAGGCTTTAGGGGACATCCAGGTTCAAGCCACAACAGATAGAGTTGGCTGAATACAGATGGCAGCACGAATTATTTGCTTATGTGGACTGAATGTGCCTAGTGGACATTCAAGTAGAGAGTGCCATGGTCTGTAGTTGAAGGGATCCTGGGGTGTGAACTTGTAAGTCTCAAGAATATAACTGGTATTGTGAAAGGTATTAAGACCAGATTAATGATTGCCATAGAGGTCAGTGAAGATGCCCCAGAGCCTAGGTCTAAGGACTGAGCCCAAGAAGGCTAGGTAGATGAGGAAAAACCAGCTAATGAGACAGAAACAAAAGTAGGAGAATAAATATGAAAAACTCTTTTTCTTGTAGTACTAGAGATTGAACACTGAGCTACATTGCCAATCCTTTTTTATTTTCAGATAGTCTCCCTAAATTACCCAGGCTAGGCTCAAACTTGAGATCCTTCTACCTAATCCTCCCAAAACAATGAGATATGTAAGACTTAAACTGTGAGGAAAGAAAAATGCTGAGAAAATTGGAATCAACTCTGTCAAATTATTTGAG